CGGGAGCGCCCGGGAGCGCGGCCGCCGCCCGCCCCCTGCTGGAGGACCCGGTGGCGGCTCGTCCCCCAGCTCCCGTCCGCTGTCCCGGGCCCTCTCCCCCAACCCGGGGCGCGACCCCAGCCCCCGGGTCTTGCCCGCTGTCCCAGACTCCCGGGAAGCAGCCTTCCACCCGGTGCACGCCCCCCTCTACAGGTGCCGCCCCCCGACTCCTGAGAAGCACAACTTGCACCCGGTGCACGCCCACCCGCAGGATGCCTGCTGTCCCTGGTCCCAACACCCTACGTATGGCCCGCCCACCGCCCCTGCCTACACGCCCCCCCCCGCGCGCGAAGGTAGCCGGGGTGGGGGTTCTGCCACCCTGGGTGTCCGTGGGGGAGTCACTTCGATGCCCCAAGCTTCCTCCGTGGAGGGTGTTGGTGCTGTGCGAAACGGTGCTGTCCGGGTGTCGGAGAGAAATGGACCGGGCAGTAGGGGGCCGGGGACCCGGAGGCCCCTAAGACCTACACAGCATTGCCCAGAGGCTGCAGGCTTCCCGGGTGGTTGGAGGCTGCTGGACCCAACACCAGCCGTAGGCACCCAGCGGTGACCCTGCAGGCTGGGAGAGCAAACCCTCCGAGCACTCCAGTGGTCCCAGACTTGGACCACTAGCCCTTTTGGGGGAGGCCCAGGACAGTTCGTGGGGCCCACCCTTCTGCCACTTCCAGCCAGGCCGCTCAGGCAGGAGCTGCCAGCCTGCCTGGGTCTGACCCCCGACCCATTGACCCCAGCCCTGGCCCCAGCAAGCTGGCGGGGCGTTGCTCAACCTTCGGTGTTATCTGCTGAGCTGGGGTGACCTCCGCCCCCAAGAGCTGGAGAAATGACATCTCCCAGTGCCCTTGGGGCTGGGGGGCAGGGAGGGAATGGATAAGCCGCCCTGCCTGCGGCTTTCTGGCCTTCCCAGCAGCCTCTGGGCCAGAAAGGGATCTGGGCCCAGAGAGGCGTGGTGACATCTCCAGGGCCACCCAGCCAGGCCTGGCTGTAAAGTGGGACATTGGGGCTCCATGGAGGGGCCCTCCCTCGTCTACCGCTGGTGACTGCTCTTCCTACCATTTGAGTAGTTGCCTCCCCTGCCTCAGTTTCCCCCCAGACTGGCCTCCAGAAGGGCTAGCCTTGGCAGAGTCAAGTCCCCAGCCACCACGCTCCCCACTGGCGAGTAGAACATGCTTCCTGTTCCCCCTGAACCCTGAACACTATCCCTCAGCCCTGCTTCAGGAGCCCCTTCTCGGGTCTCGGACCAGCTTGCCTCCAGCAAGCCCTCCAAGACTCCCTGAACCCCCAAGCCCCAGACACTCCTGACCTTAAAGCCCATCTCACCTGGCCACTCTTACTCTGTCCCCTGGTCAGCCCCTCCAGGGAGGGGTTCTCTCTCTCTCTTTTCTAAATTACATTTTATTCATTTATTTACTGTGTGTGCGCCACAGCTTGCCTGTGAAGGTCAGAGAACAACTTGTGGGTTCTCTGACCTTCGAAGTTCCCTCCTTCCGTTCTGTGAGTCCCGGGGATTGAACTCGGGTCGTCAGGCTTGGAAGTAAGTTCCTTAAACCACTGAGCCTTCCCGATGGCCCGACTTCTGTCCTTTGCTCGCTGTTTCTGCTGGGTGTAGCCTCAGGCAAACTGGCTGCCCTCTCTGAGCCACGCTTTATACTCACTTAACCCTGGTAATTTGTGTGAGCCAGCCCTACCATCTGAGCTTTACAGGTAAGGAAGCTGAGGTAGAACTCAGTGCTGGCTCAAGGTTGTCACCGTAGAGAAATGGTGATGGAGAAAGTCTCCCTTGGGGTTGTAATCAGCCCTGAGAGTGAGCTCAAGTCTAGAGAAAGGTGACTCAGGCCCCGGAGACCAGACTCTGCCTCATCAGAGAGCTTGGCTCTCTGGCCTCCAGATTGGGCTAGCTGGCCTCCCAGCAGCCTCCCAGCTGGGGCTCACCCACCCACGGCTGACCCGAGTGTCTCACAGGGAGGCCGAGGACTGTGCCCTTGCTCTCCCAGGCTCCTTGCTCAGTTGGCCGTGCCTGCTGCCTTGCCATGGCTGCCGGCCCTTCCCCAGGCTCGGAGGCCCCATCAGGTCAGGTCCGAGCAGCTGGCACAGCCGGCCTTCCCCATCCAGGCCCAGCTCCTGCCCTCTCCCTGTCCCACCCTCATGCTTGAAGGAACCTGGTCTACAAAGGTCCCCGCTGTGGCCAGACCAACACAGAAATGGGGGTGCTTGGGGTTTGATTTGATTTGATTGTCATAGTGCTGAAGTTGGACGCTCCCGGCCATTCACGTGCTGGCCACAGCTCCACCAGTAAGCTGCATCCCAGCCCTTTCTTTTTCTTGATAAGTTGCCCAGGCTGGTCTTGAACTTAGGATCCATCCACTTCGACCTCCAGAGTAGCCGGGCTCACAGGCCTGCAATAACAGGCCCGGCTGCCTTTTAAAGTGACTTCGTTCCTAACATGTAAAAACCAGAGCCTTCACACGAGGGTTCTGATTTCCAGTTCTTTTTTTAAACTTAGAGCCCTGAACCTGCCTCTGGTGCGGTGACCGTGGCCATGGTGGTGGCTAAGGCAACGGGCCTTTCCAGCCAGGGGCGTACGCCCTCAGCTACCCCAGACTTGGGGGAGGGGACACCTAGGAGCTAAATCTTAGTCCTCATCTGCAGGAGGGAGAGGCCAAAGCTGAGCCCACCCCTACCCCACCCCAGCCTGCAGCAGCCCACAGCTGTAACTCAGTGCAGGTGGGAATGCAGGAGGAACAGCAGGTGGGGGAAGGGTCAGGGAGCGCTCCGTTTCTATGGGGACCCTCCTTACAGTGGTACCCCAGCCACCTCAGTGGCCAGTCAGCCTCATTCCTGGCAAAGAGCAGCGGGGTGCGGATGTCCTGTCTCTGGGCCCCGTTGGCCTTCTCCTGGGTGGGGGAGACTCAGCTCCCTACAGCCCCACACAGAGAAGGAAAGCAGAGAAGGAAACCACCAGGCCTCCTCTCTGAGGCCTCAGTTTCCCCACCGTGTTCAGCAGTCTTCAGTCCTGGACTGGAGTCGCATACCTGCCCGCTCTCTGGGAAAGTTGCCTGTGTGTTTGCTGCCACCACGTGGCAGTTCCTGGAACTGCATGAGTGACTTGGTATCCTTTGGGTGGAAACCAACTGGGTACACTCACGGGACATGAGCACGCCACTGAGAGAAGTAAAGATGTCCAAGAGATGGGGGAAAGGCTCTCAGCCTTAGTGTAGGTACTCATCACCATTCGGATCCTAGAGACAGTGGATGTGTGGCTAAAACCACAGCGGCAGGCACTGGGAAGACACGGCAGGGATGAGGATCAACGCGGGGTGAAGGGTTCTGAGGGTCCTACGATGCAGTTGGGAGGAGGGGTGGCATGAGTACTGGGCAGTGAAACACGGCAAAGGTCCCGGCACGGTTGTGTTGGAGGCCGTGACGCAAACGTGCTTTGCTGGCCATCATAAAGCGTGGCTGTTACGGGGACAGGAGATGGAACACTGTGGGGTCTGCAGCACAGCCCAGTCAGGGAGAGACATCCATGAGGCAAGAGGTTAGGGTGGCCCACCTGGTGGGAAGAACTCACACCGAGGGCCTCTGCTGAGGTCCTGACAGTCGAGATTCATTGATGAAGCGGACGCAGCGTCTCCAGGGTCCAACTCCATAGCCAGGTCTTTTTATTTATTTTACATAGATGAGTGTTCTACCTGCTGTACGCGTGCGTACCAGAAGAGGACACCAGATCTCAACTGTAGATGGTTGGGAGCTGCCATGTGGGTGCTGGGAATTGAACTCAGGATCTTTGGAAGAGCAGCCAGTGCCCTTAACCTCTGAGCCATCTCTCCAGCCCCATCGCTTGGATATTCTTGTTCCCCTCAGTGGCTATTCATGACTTGTAAGTAAAGCCCCTGGGAGGCTGAGGCAAGAGGATTGTTTTGCATTTTCAAGGCCAGTCTTGGTTATATAGTGAAACCATGGTCAAAAGACAATACAACAGGCAGGCAGGCAGGCAGACAGGAGCATGCGTCCCTCCACCGGATTCGGTAGTGAACAATGACAGTGCTCCCTGAGGAAACCGTCTTTCACCCAGAGCCCAGGCTGCCCCCACCTCCTTCCAGGGTCTTTTGAGAAGATCTCGGATCCACCTCTCCTGTGTAAAGTCCACAGCTACACTTTCAGAGGTCACCAACCTCGCAACGACTGGAGGATGGCTGATCTGGGTGTCCGTGTCACAGAGAGTTTGTGGCCTTTTTACAAGGGAATCACAAAGCATGAGAGGGAAAATAACCTCGTTAAACAGCTCCACAAGAACCAGGCATGGTGAGGAAGGCCTGTGATTGAGACAGAAGGAGCAAGTGCTCAAGGTTTTGGGGCATGGTGACTCACACCTTTAATGCCCGTGCTCCTGAGACAGAGGTAGGTGGAACTCTCTGAGTTCAAGGCCAGCCTGAGCTACAATACTGAAACCCTGACTCATGAATAAATAAATAAATAAATAAATAAATAAATAAATAAATAAATAAATAGGATATCTTTTGAGGTCTAGAGAGATGGCTCAGAGGTTAAGAGCACAGGCTGCTCTTCCAAAGGTCCTGAGTTCAATTCCCAGCAACCACATGGCGGCTCACAACCATCTATGGTGAGATCTGATGCCCTCTTCTGGCCTGCAGGCACACATGCAGGCAGAACACTGTATACATAATAAATCTTTTTTTTTTTTTTTTTAAGATACCTTTTGGTATCTCTGACCAAGAAATACCAGTCCCCTTATTTTGTTTCAATTTAAAATTTTAAAAAATTTATTCACCTTAACCTCCCGATCGTAGCCCCCTCCCTCCCTCCCCCTTCCTCCCATGCCCCTACCTGCTCATTTTTAAAGACTGAGACAGGTGGACGCGCACCAGCGCTCATGACGTTGACAAGGGTGTGGTCCCTGCAGAGAATGTGGCAGGATGAGCTGGCCTTGCGGGGGAGGAGGGCAGTGCTGTTCCACAGAACTTTCTGGTGCGCCCCTCCCTGGGTCACGTCAGCCTCGTGTGCACCCAGGCCCCTGGGGCCTGCCGCTGAGAGTTTCTCCTGTGTGCTTGTTTGGTTGTTTACTTTTGAGGCCGCCTCGTGTGGCCCAGGCCTCCTCCACCGCGGTAGCAGGCGTGAGCCACCACACCTGACTTGAAGTTTAATATTTAAGTCCTCTCCTGTGGCCGGTGACCGCTGTGTGAGTGGCGGTCACCTGGATAGAATCATTTCTATAGTCTGTTGTTTCTCTTCTTTTTTTAAAATGTTTGTGGGAGTCTTGCCGGCATGTATGTGTGCCTGGTAGGTGCAGAGGCAAGAGGAGGGTGTCAAATTCCCTGGAGCTGGAGGAACAGAGAGTTCTGAGCTTCCGTGCGGGCGCTGGGAATGGAACCTGGGTCCTCTGGAAAAGCAGCCAGTGTTCTTTTTTGTTGTTTTTTTAAGGGTTATTTGTTTTATGTAGATGAGTGCTCTATCTGCATGTACACCTGCCTGCCAGAAGAGGGCATCAGATCCCAGTATAGATGGTTATGCACCACGATGTGGTTGCTGGGAATTGAACTCAGGACCTCTCAAGGAGCAGCCAGTGCTCTTATCCGCTGAGCCTCCTCCTGTCCAGTCCCCTCTATGGTCTTTTGTTAAAGAAAAGAAAAAACAAAACACTGTGAGGGGGGAACCTGCTACATTTTAAAAATATATTTATTTAGTGTCTGTGTCTATAGAGGTCAGAAGATGGTGTTGAATGGATCGCTTGGAACTGGGTCTACAGACAGTGGTGAGCCTCCTTGTGGGTGCTGGGAATTGAACCTGGGTCCTCTGAAAGAGCAGGGCTCGTAACTGCCGAGCCATCCCTCCAGCTCACACCTGGGAAGGTGGGAGGACTAGGAGTACAGGGCCAACCTGTGCTACATAAGAATCAAAACTATACACGTATGGGGCTGGAGAGGTGCCCTGGGGTAAGAGCCCTGGCTGCTCCTCAGAGGACCTGGCTCAGCTAGCAACCGGCTGTAACTCCAGTCCCGGGAGATCCAACGCCCCCTTCTGGCCTCCGCAAGCACTGCACATATGCTGCTCAGGCACAAATACAGGCACACACCTATCCACATAAAATCAAGATTTTAAAAAGACCTACGATATGGAGACAGAGTTGCTCATCCTAGGATCCCTTCCCCCTAACTCAGCTGTCTTGCCTAGCCACGATAGGAGATGCGCTTGGTCCTACTACAATTTGATATCCACGGCGGCCTCCCTTTTTCTAAGCCTCTTCTGGGGGAAAAAAGGAGGGGAAGATTGTGGGGAGGGGAGAGGGAGGGACTGGGAAAAGAGAAGGGAGGGGAAGCTACGTTCCGGATGTTAAATAAGTTAAATTTATATATGGAGAGAGACAGACAGACGTAGCAAATGAATTTAACCAACAGGAGAAAGAATCTCTGTTGTCTCACAGTTTCAGAGATCTTGTCCCTGGCCAGCAGCTCCACTGCAGCGAGCCTGAGGCCAGCCTGAAGCTCTATGGCAGAAGGACCTGCAGAGGGGAGGAGAAGGCATGACCTCAGCGCCCCAGCGCCTAAGAGCAGACTCAGCTTGAACTCTCCGGGTTAGCCCTGGTGATGTCCGGCCTCATCTCAGTAGCACTGCCCCCACCCTCACCTCCACGCTGCGCTAAAACTTCGACGCACCGCACCGGCCCCTGGAGGACTCTTCAAATTCGGCCACAACAGGCGTGGGTGAGAAAGCCAGCCGCTCACCTCTGCGCGTTCTCTTCCCCTGGCACCCTTCCCTGGCCTTGGTTGGCCAAGGCAAACTACCCCTCCCTCTTGTGTGTATTCGCTCGGTGTTAGCCCAGTCCTTGTCCCAAAGGCAGACAGTGGGGTCAGCGGCAGCGGTTTGAGGACCCCACGCCTCAAACCCACGCCAGAGACACGCACGACCGCCCGGGGCGCACCTGCGGGTGCAGTGCGCAGAGTCAGCACCAGGGGGCGCTTCCGCCGGCTGCGGCCGGACACCTCCGTCGTGCTGGGATTACCCAGTTTCTGCAATCCTGGGGCTCTGCTGGGACCGCTCCTGGTCCGCCCGTCCTTTAAAGGTTTGATTATGAAACAACTGGTGATTTAGAGAAAGTCACATAGTTGCTTTCAATGTGTTACCATATGATGTCTGAGGTCACACAACACAGGCTTTATTTGTTTATTTTCTGAGCGTTTAGAGGTGTGAGAGCCAGGGCTTACCCTAAAGGCCGCAGCAGGTCTGCTGAGAGCAGAGCGTTGCTAATGCAGACCGAGGCTCCTGCTCACTCAGGTGGCACCACCGGCCCTAGGGGCCCTAGCGTGGCCTGCCTCTCTCTGTCACCTCTTTGCTGTCCTGTGCCCCAAACAGTTCTTTCTTCCTTTTTCTTTTCTCTTCCTTCCTTTCTTTCTTCCTTCCTTCCTTTCTTTTCTTCATATCATTTTTTTTTTTGGGGGGGGGGGTCAGGATCTTGTGTAGGCCTGGCTGTCCTAGAACTCAGGTCAGTCCTCCTATCTCAGCCTTCCAAGGCCCAGGCTCTTAAGACATCTACCATTCTTTTTGTCCTGCCATTTGGAAAGCCACGGTTCATCCCTGCCTGCTCTTGCATCTCTACAGGGCCTGGCCGGAGCAGAGCCCTGCAGCTTCCACGTGGTTGCCCCAGGTCTGGAGGGCTAGAACCACAGCTGGATGCCGCCGCCAAGGGCTCTAAGCCAGACCCTCACACGGGCTGCTCAGCTGCTGGAGTACTTTGGTGACACATAAGCTGTTGTCCTCAGACACATCAACAAGGAAGCACAAAGCTTTCTAAGACTGAGGACCACAGGTCCCTCCTGCCGTGTTCCATTCATCAGAGCAGAGAACCAACATTCAAAAGTTGTGTGTGTGTGTATGTGTGTTTCCCCCTGTCTGTCTGAATTTGTCTGTCTGTCTCTATTTGTGTTTGCCTGTGTGTGTCTTTCTATATGCATGACTGGTATGCCTGCCTGTCTTTCCGTATTTGTGTTTAGATGCATGTCAGAGGCTTAAAGGTGACTCTCTACCTTGTTTCCTGAGGCAGGCTCACTCACTGACTCAGCTGGCAGCCAGGGAGCCCTGGGATTCCTCTGCCTCTCCCGGCACTGGGATTACAGGCACACAGTCCCTCTTTTTATGTGGGTGCTGGGGATTGAACTCAGGTCCTCACACGTGCACAGCAAGCCCCTCACCCAGTGAGCGTGCCCCCTTTGAGCAGGCTGTCATGGAGCCCAGGCTGGCCTAAAACTCAACAATGTCCCTGAGTAGAAAAGTGTGCCTCTGGCCCTGCTCCTAAAGAACAGCTACGAGATAGAATTTGGGGAACAAAGTGTAAGTTGTTTGTGTTGAACCCACATAGGTGACAAGGTGGGAGGTTGCCACGAATCTGGGATGGTTTGAGGATGGGATCTGTCCACAGAAGACTGATTTACTGTTTCTGGGTCGGCTGGCTCTGTGAGCAGGAAGCCATGGAGATCATGGCGCAAACTAAGGGATTTTGTTTAGCTGTGCTTTTGAGATAGGACCTCACTGCAAAGCCCAGGGAGACCTGGAATTTACAGTCTGGAGGCTGGGCTGACCGGTTTGCAGCACACACCTGCCCCCCCCACACACACCGTTCAGTACTTTACCCTCTACGGGCAACAGTTTCTGCTATGACACCACCTGTCTAACGCTCATCTCTGTTGCTGTGACAGAATCCAGGCAGGCACACGTCTTTTATCCCGGCACTCGGGAGGCAGAGGCAGGTGGACCTGTGAGTTCAAGGCCAGCCTGGTCTACAGAGCGAGTTCCAGGACAGTGAGGACTACACAGAGAAACCCTGTCTCAAAAAAAAAAAAAAAAAAAGAAAAGAAAAGAAAAAAAGAAAAATTAAGAAAAGGGATATAATCAGTGGGTCACTTGATTGGATTTGTTTTCTCTGCCAGTTAAAGAATTAAAAGTTTGGAAAGCAGCAGGTAGCTTCCAAGAACCTCAGAAGATCAGTGTTTATTGAGAGTGAGGAAATATGCAGAAGGCAGCCACTCAGAGAAAATGACCCTCTGCGCAGCAAAGCAGGGAGGGACTGAAAGAGCGGAAACCCAGTCTCCTCTCGAGCCTCTGAAGAGTTCTCCTCCCCTGCTTTAGGGTTGGTCGGTTTCAAGGAGCTCAGACGGTTGACTGGGCCAGAACTGTTTTGTGCTGTGTCCTCATCAGGCCTTGGACATGTCGGAGCCAGTTCATCATCACAGGGGCTGCTGGTGGGCCACAAACACTGCCAGGGATTTGTCTCAGGTCAGGAGGCTGAGGAAGAGGCTGGCCACCTAGGAGATGTACCACTTTATTACCTAGCCATGGCCCCTCTCTCTGTCTGGCTGCCTACCAGGGGTCTGCCTCCTCAGCACCCTGACACCAGCAGCCTAAGGGAGAAAGGGTTTGCTCAGCTCACAGTTGCGGGACACAGCCCACCATTTAGGGAAGTCAGCGGAGGACGAGTGCTGGAAGCAGCCGGCCAGCACACGCGCGGAGAGCGGAGAGCAATGAATGGGTGAACATGTGCTAGTGCTCAGGGAATGGGGCCGCCCACAGAGGGCAGGCCTTTACCGTCAATCACTCGATCAAGACAGCCCTCACACGCACTCTGAGGCGTTCTCAGATGATTCCTATAGGGTCGTGTTGACAAGCCGTCACCCACCCCCGGTGTTCCACTGGGCACACTCACCGGTTTATTCTCTAGGGGCCAGGACCCAGGCCTGTATCCTTAGCATCTTAGTGACACCCCCGAGCACTGTTGCCCCACTGAAGTATCAGTGAATGAATACTTTCTTGCAGCCCTGAACAGAGGTGGGTTCCAGGACTCGGGTTCCTAGGAAAAGTAGGCAAAGGTAGAGCCGGCCAGGAGCGCCAGGCGCAAAGGCCAAAATTCGATCTCATAACCCGTGGTTTCACTTTCCACTCCCAGGACTTCTAACCTTGGCTCTTTCCTCAGTTATCCCTAAAGAACCAAAGCTGGATGTGAAAACCAGCTGTGCAGGGTGCAGTACCTAATTCCACCAGCAGGTGTCGCGAAGAGTCCCTGGCCACAGTCAGGCCGCGGGGTGCCACAATGCAAATTTGTCCGTTTGTGGTGTGTGTGTTTGGGGGAGGGGTTTTTTAACCTTCTAGGCCGTTTGCAAAAAATTGTGCCTCAAACGAAGCTGCATCTGCATCGTTGCACGTTTGTTCACAGGCTGGAAACAGTCTTGAAGAGGAAGCACCTCCCTTAGGCTGCACATACCGCACTAGGTTGCACAAACGAGTTGACAACTGAAGAAAGTAGGACCCAGAGAGGGCGCTCGGACACCCGGCAAGCTGGTGGGCCGCTTCTCTCTGGCCATGAGTCCCTTCTGCACGTGGGGTTTGCTCCCCACTGGGCTGCAGTAGGCAGCAGGGAGGGTTGGAGGGTCCGCGCCTGTCCATTCAGGGAAAAAGAGGAAAGGCATCTGTAGAGTGCAATGGTGCTTTTTTTTTTCCTTTCCACGATTTCAGGGACCCAGTCTCTTTCTGTCTTATATGCAATTGGCAATTTCCTCTTATGGTCCGAAGTGGCTGCTGCAGCACCCACCATCACATTCACAATCCAGTGTATGAAAAGCAAAAAAAATAAAAATAAAACAAAAATAAAATAATCAGCCTCTTGACGTGCTCATGTGTGTACGCTCACCGTTCTGAAATCCTGAGTGTTGCTAAGCTAAGTGTCGTAGTCACTAGCTTACAGAGCAGGGCCTGCCGCCTTAGAGTGTCCTTCACCAGGGAAGGTTACACCCATTCTCCACCAATCCCGTGCTGCCAGGAGGGCTTACCATAGGGGCTGGTGCCCTAGGAATCTTGCCGTCAGGAGCTTGAGTTGAGTCCTGATTCTACCTTCCCCAGCTGTGCATCAGGATTCTCTCCGAGCCTTGATTTCCTGGTTTGTGACTTGGAGTTAGTGAGAATGTATGGACCCATACCTGGCCTGGCATCACACACTCAACAGGAAAGGAACACAGGTGAAGTAAAAGTGTCAGACAGGAGGTTTGCCATGAGTTTGGGGCTAGCCTGGGCCTCAAGGTAAACCCACGAACGTGGAGACACCAACTACCAGCTCACAGGAGAGAGATGGATACACCCAGAAACACCAGGAGCTGCCTGGACTGACCTGACCTCTGCCGTCATGCCAAGGTGACTTCTTTTCTCGTTCAGAAGTAGAAAAGCTGTCCCCAAGTTCATATGGAATGTCAAGGGCCACCACACGGCCTCGTCAACCTTGAAAAAGAAGAGGGAAGCTAGGCAGGGGAGAGAGACGCTGTGGTCCAGGACTTGGGAGGCAGAGGCAGGAAGATCACAAGTTTCAGGTCAGCTAGGGCGATTGGCAGGCCACCCGGGGCTAGAGTGAGGCAATGTCATGTCGGAAAAAGGAAGAGGGGGAAGAGGAGGGGGAGCAGTAGAGAGAGAAGGAAGCAGGGCTGCAGGGTTCAAGCATCCTGATTTCAACACAACAACAAAGAGGCAGGCATGGCATCACGGGGCTGAAAAAGGCTCAGGAGTTCAAGGTCATCCTCCACTACATGGTGAGTTCAAAGACAGCCTTGGGCTACGTGAGACCCTGTCTCAACACAGAACAAGTGTTGATTGAGCAGAGCTCCAGGTGCTGAGAGGCTGGTGGGAGGGGAGGGAGGCGTGGCTCCCTGAGCAGGAAGCAACGTGGGGGTTCCTCAAAGGCTTAAACTGGGGATCCCCTAGGATTGAGCATTTCCCCTTCTGGTCCCCAAATGAGTTGAAAACAAGGTCTCAACACGCCCATATTGGCAGCAGCAAGGCCGGGGAGCACCCAGCGCTCGCTGGCAGATGGTCTGAGCAGCCTTCCCCTGAGCACAAGTTTCCACCCTCAGTGGAAGGAGTGGGGCCACGTTGCAATGTGAAGGCACCCAGCACAGGACCAAGGCTCTGACTCCCTGGGAGGCAGGACAGGGTCGGTATCACAGAGGGGCGGATGGGAAGTTGTTCAGTGGAGACCAAGATGCAAAGAGCTGTGGAGCCAGGTTTGGTAGTGCATGGTAAGAAAGGTCATGAGTTCAAGACCAGCTTGGGTTATATAACCAGACCCTGTCAACCAAAATAAAAATAGATTCTTGAACATGGGTTATGAGGCCTA